CTGCAGGAGGCCAAGGTCCACCTGATGGACACAGAGCTCTGTAACAGCAGCCGGTGGTACGCGGGGGCCGTGCACCCCGAAAACCTGTGCGCTGGGTACCCGCGGGGCGGCATCGACACCTGCCAGGTGGGAGCGTGGCACCAGCCCCTCAGCCCCGGCAGCACAGGGACCCCCTGCCCCAAACATGGCCCGGGCTGGGCCTGGCCTGGCACCCTCCCAGCCCCAGGACCCACCACTGCCAGGGCTGTCCTGTCCCATGTCCCCCATCCCAGGGCTGTCCTGTCCCATGTCCCCCATCCCAGGGATGTTCTGTCCCATGTCCCCCATCCCAGGGCTGTCCTGTCCCATATCCCAGGGTTGCCCTGTCCCATGTCCCCTATCCCAGGGCTGCCCTGTCCCATGTCCCCTATCCCAGGGCTGTCCTGTCCCATGTCCCCTATCCCAGGGCTGTCCTGTCCCATGTCTCCTATCCCAGGGCTGTCCTGTCCCATGTCCCCTATCCCAGGGCTGTCCTGTCCCATGTCCCCTATCCCAGGGTTGCCCTCCCCTTCCCCATCCATGGGTCCCTGCCCTGTGTCCCCTTGTCCCCAAGGCCTGGCTCAGCCCCCAAAGCCCATCCAGTGCTCCTGGCAGCCCCGAGCTGCAGATGTGACCCTGGATCATTCATCCTCTGCACATCTGGGCCCCCTGTGCAGAGATGGGACAGCCCCCAACCCGCTCCCAGCTGAGGCTCTGGAGGCTCCAGCCCCCAAGCAGAGCCTTCCCGTGCTGGGAATGCGGCTCTGGCAGGGGCTGGGAGAGAGGAGCCAGCCCTGCTGCTGCAGCAGCCCCCCACAAACCCTGAGCCCTCTCTCCTGCCGCAGGGGGACAGTGGGGGTCCCCTTGTCTGCAAGGACCACAGAGCCGACTACTTCTGGGTCGTGGGGCTGAGCAGCTGGGGAAGAGGCTGTGACAAAGCCAGGCACCCCGGGATCTACACCTCCACTCAGCCCTTCTACAACTGGATCCTGCTCCAGACGGGCCTGAGGCCGGCACAAAGAGCCGGTCCAGAACAAGGGCCAGCCGTCAGCTCGACCCCTGAGCAGCATCTGGGGCCGGTGTCAGAGACACACATCAGCCTGACCCCTGAGCAGCAGCTGAAGCCAGAGCCAGAGCCGGACATCAGCTTCATCCCCAAGCACAGCCAGAGACCGGCACCGACCTCCTCGGCCTTGTCAGTGCCCACAGCATTCCCACTGCTGCTCCTGGTGCCATTCCTGAACCTGCTGCAGGAGTTCCTGCACTTCCTGAAAGATAAAAAGGCTTAAGCAGCAGGAGGAGGGGGATCCAGGGCTACAGTGGACCAGGGCCATTTCCTGCTGGGACAAAGGTAGCCTTGGGGCCAGAGGTTGCTCTGTCCTGCCCACGCTGCTCCGCTGCACCTGCACCGATGCTGACGTGACCCAGGTGTTGAAATAAAGTTTCTGTGTTCCTCATTAACTGTGTTTTCAGCCCTGCTCAGTGCACCCACGGGCTGGGAAAAATCCCTGCTCTGTCTGTCAGTCTGCTGGGCTGTTCACATTCGTTCCTCAGCTTGAGTGAAGATGTGCAGTGGCAAGGGTCGAGTCAAGGGAGATCCTGCCCAGAAGGGCTCCCACAAGAAGCGGAGAGGCCCAGCTGCCCATCACCACAGCTCTGGGGCACGAGAAACATCACTGTGCAGGCCCCAGAAATCCAGCCAAGGGAAACTGGACTCAGGGTCCAGTGGCAAAGGAAAACCAGGCTCAGGGTCTGGGCTTAGGCGGACAGGGGTTCCTCTTCAGGGCAGCTCTTCATCTGATAAATCCTTGCTCGTCTTCTGCAGGTCGAAGCTCTGGAAAAGAGCAGGTCAAGGAACTGCTGAGAAGTGACAAAGACTGCAACAGCTGCATCTGCTGTGGCTCTTTCAGACTCAGCCTAGGGCAGCCTAGGGCAGCAAGGGCTCTTCCAGGGGTCTCAGCATCGCCCCTCCCATCCTCTCCCACCCCTCCCATCCCATCCTAGCCCAGCCCACACCCCCAGGGGTCACCAGCACAGGGCAAAGTTTCCCATGCTGCACAGTTCCATCCTCTGCAGAGCTGCTTATTCCTCAGGAAGAGGGGGAGGAACAGAGCCTTCCCTACCTCCAGCTCCTGCAGGACCTGGTCCATGAAGTCTCCTGAGTGCTGTTTGTAAGCCAGGGCCAGTCTGATGGCGTCGTTGAAGAGCTAGGGGAAAGGACAAGGCTCGTCACTCCCAGGATGGGGGCACACGGGCACTGGGTTTCTGGAGCAGGTGGAGACTAATCCCAAGGGAACAAAACCCCCTCTGCAAACTCCACAGCCACCAGCCCCTCACAGCCACAGTCCCTGACCCTGGGCTGCTGAGGGGCCCCCCAGCACTCAACCAGCCCACCTCACCTTCACCACGTTGGTGCCGTCAGCAGCAGACACAAAATAAAAGGGCAAACTGAACTTCCGGGCAAAGTTGAAGCTTTTCTGGGTCACCTTCATATCCGCTGGGACAGACAGAGGAGACAGGGGTCAGTCAGGCAGGGGCAGGAGATCCCGAGGGTGGACGTCCCCTTGGGTGTCATGCCAGGCACTGCCACAGGACCCAGCCAGGCCACAGCCCCAGCGATCCTGAAGGGCTGGCCGGCATTCCCAACAGGAGGGAACTTTCCAGCCACCCACACAGCCAGGCGAACAGTTTTGCCAGCAGGTACACTGAGGCACTTCAGCACAGGAGGAGCCTGTGCAGGCTGAAGGAGAAGCACCAAGGCCATCCCTGAGTGACCTGGGGAAGCCACAGAACAGCTTTTTCTCCTTTCCCTGCCATTTTTGACCAGGTGCTGATCCAATCACCTTTGGGTTCTTGCTGGGTGGAATGGGCAGCACGGTAAGGAAAGAATTGGAAGGACCTCACTTGGATAAACCTCAAATGCATCAAATCTGCATTTTTAATTGCTGGTGACCATAGGAAGAACACTTGTGAGACAGCAGGTGAGATCAGCAGAGGAGCCAGCCCTGGGGGACTCAAGAAATCCTCTGGACCCAACAGACAAGGGACATTTGTTCTCAGCTGGGGCAAGAGTGAACCTCACCACAACCCTGCGAGGTTGGGAACAGAAGGTGCACTCACCATCGATCTTGTTGGCCACCACAATGCAGGGAATCTCCGGGCGGAATTCCCTCAGCTCCCGGTACCAGCTGTTCAGGTTCTTGTAGGTGACCTTCCTCTGCACATCAA